GCTACAAGAACCAGCAGCAGCAGCAGAGATTCTCAGTGCGGTTGGAGAAATGGCTGTTCTAGGTAGTAGCCAGTTTGTTCATTTACTTTCAGTCAGGCTTCAAAACAAACTTTCTAAATGGTTGATGTAAAAATCCCATTTTTTGGGGGGTTTTATTTTTAAATGACCCTTCCTTGTGTTGGCTTGTGTTTTTACTTCTGTCCTTTCTTCTGCTTTTCCTCCCTGTTGATGACCCAGATGAGGATCACTGGTGTCTCGTCATCCATCTGCATCTTGTGTCCTCAGTTAGTTCTCAGTGCTTGAATGGTTTTGTGTCTGCCTTTGTCTTTGCCACCATGTTTTGCTACCCTCCTATCAGTTTTTCTTCTTCCACCTATGATTTGTGTTTTTGTTAGTTAGATTTTTGTGGATTTAGTTTTGATTTCTTTCTCTATTGACGTATTTTTGCCTGGTCACCTGCACATCTCAGTAGGTTCCTTCATTGAAGCTTGTTCCTTTCCACAATCTGCCTGCTGTGTCTGCACTTAGACTTTCAGTGGTCACATGAACAGACGGTATGACAGGTTTAAATAAACGTGGATTTAGCCTTTTATCCAACAGCTGTATCTGGCAGATTGTGTTCTTTCCACAATCTGCATGAGTTCTTTTCTTGATCCTTGCTCTCCTTGTTAATGACTTTAATGAACTGGCATAGCTCTTTGTAGACTGCTGTCCTGTATTGTTGTCATGGACTTGCCAGTTGTTGAGTTGTTTTTTTTTTCAATATTATTATTTTTTCTGGCATTTTTTTGCCTTTATTAGTCAGGACAGGGGCTGCAGGTGTCTCAGTGGTTAGCACCGTTAGCGCCTCACAGCTAGAAGGTCGCCAGTTCACGTCCCGGTGAGGACACCCGGGATCTTCCTGCGTGGAGTCTCCATGTTCTCCCCGTGCAGCGTGGGTTCTCTCCGGGTTCTCCGGCTTCCTCCCACAGTCCAGAAACATGCTGAGGTTAATTGGTGATTGTAAATTGTCCGTAGGTGTGAATGTGAGTGTGCTTGGTTGTCTGTCTCTAAGTGTAGCCCTGTGATAGACTGGTTACCTGTCCAGGTGAACCTGCCTTCACCCTGAGTCAGCTGGGATAGACTCCGCCCCCCATGACCCTAGTGAGGATGACGGTGTAGAGATGATGGATGGAGGAATAGTCAGGATAGTGAGAGAGCGAGACAGGAAAGTGGAGGGAGGACCTGCAGCAGATGGTCATGAGCGACACTCAAACTCATGACGCTGCGTCGGAGACCTACAGCCTGTTCATGGGTCGCCCACTCAGCTGGTGAGCCATCTGGGTGTCCGATCTTTGAGTCATCTTTAACAATTGCTTAATGCTGTCTGAAAGACACTGATGCCCTCTTTTTCACTTCCAGGTCTGTTCATCTTTCCATAGCTGTCCATAGCATTCCATACCAAGAGCTGTCAAGTACTGAATGTCTGATTTCAATAAAAACTGTCTTAACTGTGCCGCTTTACACTACTTGTGCATGGAAACAAAGATTCATAGCACATTTTGTGCCAGGGGAAACCCACTGTCCTGTTACTCCTGAGTACTATGGGTGACCTGTGCTCCTATGACACGGTTGTACAGCTTTACTTTGTCGTTGTTCTGTTGTGTGTTTATGTAGATGAGTATTTCCAGAGCAGACTGCGGTGTCACCAAGGCGTGCTTCAGTCAGCCTTCAAACTGTGATCCTGCAGCCAGTGCTGACTGTTATTTCTTGTCAGCTATGATGCTGCCTGCCAGTGGTGGCGCCGTCCGCTATGAGATGTCGGGTCCTTCTAATGGATACATCTCTTTTGGATTTTCTGATGATCAGATGATGGTAATGTAAAGACAAAATTCTATGAAATATTTCATGTTTTTCAGCCTCTGCAGTAATGAAGCTTTTTGTGTACTTGTTTATAACAGCACACATCTGGAAAAAATAGCTGCAATGCAACGACTTGCCAACATATTTTGTGATCAGTGCAAAATCATTCATCAACAACAGTGGGATATTTCCCCTGACAACTTTAGAGTTTGTAGAATGGAACCACAACCCTGAATCAGTCACTATATTTGTTTAGACCTGGTTGGTGTTTGATCAAAGTTTGCTGATGACCTTATGACACATTCTGATGTAGTATGCGCTTAATTCCATTTTGTGTATCTGTAGTCACACTTTCTGAGAACCAGAGGGCCACAAGAGACACAGGGGATGAAAACAAGGGTGAAAAAAAACAGAGATATCATGGACCGAAGTCAGTCCGTCAGCTTCGTCACACTGTTAGTCATTCAGTTATGCCATATACCAAGATCCAATTTCTAACAATGCCCAGTGGAAGACTGTGACTTTAGCTTTGTAAAGGGCAGTACTGTTTGTTATTTGGTCAGCATTTTAGCTTTGGACAGATTTTATTTCAGTGTGAATCACTCTGACTAGTGTTTCTTGTGGTGCCAGTTTCATTTGGGCCTCAGCAATATGAACATCTAATTGTTTGGCAGTTACTGAGTACATTCATGGTCCCCAGCAAAGCCATCATCCTCTTCTCTGTAACAACAAAAACTGTCTGGCTTCTTGAACTCAAGAGTTTGAGTTTTAGACGTCATACTGTTGAAAACACTGCAGGCACTGAGTTTCTCAGCAGGCTGATATTCATGTGCTGTAAGAGAAACACAGCATTTTCAAAAGGAGCCACTTCTGTTGAAGGCATGCGACTACTGTATACTGAGCTTGTCTTTTCTCAGGGAGATGATGACATCTACATATGTGGCATAAGCAGCAGTGGACTGGTGCGGCTGCAGCATGCTTTCTCAACAGGACGTACGACCCCACAAGCACTGCCTCTGGTACTGAGTTCTTCTGATTCCAATGATTTACATCATGACACGGTCAGAATATTGTTTGTCATACCGTGACATTTCTATTGTTCTGGTGCTGCCAAGCGTGAACATTAATTTGTTTGGATTCAGATTGATAATGAATTCTTTCTATACAACAGGGGAATGTTTCTGAAGTAAAAGCATCAATGCAGGACAGTGTGATCAGCTGTTCCTTCACTTCCATGAACACTGTTTCTACTCAGAGGACTTCTGGCTTCAACAAAACCTACCACCTAATGTTTGCCCATGGACCCAGTGACAACGGTAATGGAAACAGGTTGGAGGAGGAATGAAGATATCATGAGTACAGCATGGGTGTCCAAAGGTTTCATGCCAGAGGCCACATGGAAAAAAGTCTGAGCTCTTTCACAACTAGCTGGCCATGATTCTTTGCACTGACAGTTGTTGAATTGAGGACTTAAATTATGCGAGTGGGTAGGTAATATCTGCACATAAGAAATAATATAATTAGCTTGTAAGGATGCTGTTTTCACACTGGTGCTTCTATCACATAAATCTGATCAATAGTGGAGATTCAGTGGAGGCAGTGTCTGCCAGTCACATCAGCGTCAACAGTTTACTGTGGAAAAGTTCTGAAAAAACTCTGTAAAGAGGATTTCAAAAAACGGTCATGACTGGTTTCTATGCATCAGTTGACTTTCTAACCTCCACCGTGCTTCGCTCTTGCCTTAATAAACAGTTGGACATTCTGATTAGTTCAGAGGACCTGCTACATTCTTACTGCACCCCAGTTCTTGTGTTTTCAGAGAAATGGTCGATGGGAATCTTAAATTTAGACGCCCCTCCACATCTCTTCAGTCTGGCAGTCCCTCACACAGCTCAATCAATCAATCAATCAATCTTTATTTCTAAAGCACTTTTCATACTAAATATAATTCAAAGTGCTTTACAGATTAAAAACAAACAGCTGTTTGTTTCATGTCCCTACAAATTCCCTCAGTCTTTGTCTGAACTGTGGACTGTTAGTTTTTTTTTTTTTTACTGGTTTTAAGAGTATATAGATCTAAGATATATAAGAAAAGATATAATATATATATATATATCCAGATGTAAGCTAGCTTGCATCGGAATCACAAATTACGTGCTCTAGACGTGTGGACGTTCAGTGTGACCCACTCACGTGCCTGTGTTTAACCCCCATCACTTTAAAGTGCAGTATCATAGTAATTCATACATAAACGTAGTTGGCTGGAGAAATATGTGATGTTTTGTGATGTCTGTGTGTGCTACAGGACAAATCCAGCTCCATACGGGTACTTTCACCAGCACTGACAAGGTAGACATTTCCAAACCTGGGCTTGTCCGAAAAGCTGGATTGCCTCATATCATCAAAGCGCACGGTGAGATTTCAAAGTGGAAGCACACACTCATTTTATATATACACTACAGTTAGTCACTTGGTGTGTTCGACACCTTGACAGCCACTAAATAAACGCTCTTGTGAACGGGCTGGATAATGCATTGGCTGTTTAAAACAGAAGTGTACCAGTTAGCAGACCCACCACTTTGGTCCAAATGGAAATATTTCAACATCTAACTGATAGATGCAGTCAGATTTGTTTCAGACATTCATGTTCCCAACAGATGACCTGTATACAGGTCAAAATGTCAGATGGTTCAGAATTGTTTTGCAACAGGTTTTTCAAGAGTTTCAGAAAAACTGTGTCACAGTTTGACACACAAGGTGCAGACAAAATGACACGACCACCCAACAGTTGAAATCAATGAATAAGATTTATTCCTAAATACTAATATGAATATGAAACAAGGTATCAAACAAATAGGTAATATAAACTACCGCTAACGAATACTTACTCTCAGGACATTTATCAAGACGTCCTCTAAAGGACGACGAACTAAATTTACAGATTAACAAACAAACTTATCGCGACGAATACAAACCTAATACTGGTCCTACTGGTAGAGTAGACGAGAGACCGGCTTAAACTACAACTCTGAATGCATGGAGGGGAGACGGAGGAGACGAAGGTGGACCAGATGACTTCAGCGGAGGGACACAGAGGATATGGAGAGCTGGAGCCAGAAGAATCCAACAGTGAGGTGAAGGGAATGAGTAGTGGATCTCAGTTGGCAGCGAGCGTGGTGAAAGTGGAGCACAGGAGAGTCGAGTTAGAAGCAGAATCGAAACAACGAGCAGAGTATATGAACAACCAGAAAACTAACGTGGGTTTTACTACAATCCGGCGTCGACTTGTGGCTGCTGGCGTCTTAAATGGTGAATGCAGGTCTGAGGAGTGGAAGGCAAGCCACGCCTCACTGCAGCTGGACCAATCGGCTGATTGCCAACTCAAAGCACCTGGTTCCCCATCACTCCGGCATGTTGCACAAAACAGAAGCAAACCCAAAAATGCTCCACTAGGTGGAGCCAAAGGCAGAGGTCATGTCAGACTGGATATTGGTCTCTGTTGGCTCGAACACCTGGAACAAGAGGATGCTTTCCGAGTGGTGGTTTTATATATTTGTACATGTTTTCCATGCATAGTTCATATACAAGCTCCAACACAACTACATATAAACAGACAGTACAACAGAAATATTCTCTTTCTTTAGGTGTTTTTTTTAAAAAATACAGTTTTGCATATTGTTTAGGGTTATGGATCAGGTTCAGAGAGTAAACTGTGGACAAAGACACAGTGGACAGGACGTCCACAATGAAAATTTTTACAAAGATAGTTACACAAAACCAAACTATTTACAAGAATATACAGGACCAGGGAGATTTCACTAAAGGAACTACAGGAAGTATTAACTGGACGTAGGTCAAAGGCTACAGAACTGAATACAATACCAACTGCAAAAATGGACACAGAACTACAACTCCTGGCAAAAATGATGGAATCACCAGTCTTGGAGGATTTCCATTCAGTTGTTTAATTTTGTAGAAAAAAAGCAGATCACAGACATGCCACAAAACTGAAGTCATTTAAAATGGCAACTTTCTGATTTTAAGAAACACTAAAAAAAATCAAGAAAAAAAGTGTGGTGGTCAATAACAATTGCTTTTTTAAATCAAGCACAGGGAAAAAATTATGGAATCATGAAAAACAAACAAACAAACAAACAAACACTACAACACACCACTAGTACTCTGGTGCACCACCTCTGGCTTTTATAGCAGCCTGCAGGCTCTGAGGACTTAATGAGTGACAAACAGCACTCTCCGTCAAACTGGCACCAACTTTCTCTGATTGCTGTTGCCAGATCAGCTTTGCCGGTTGGAGCCTTGTTGACCATGTTCTTCAATTTCCACCACAGATTTTCAGTTGGATTGACATCTGGACTATTTGCAGGCCATGACATTGACCTTATGAGTCTTTCTTCAAGGAAAGCCTTCACAGTTTTTGCTCTATGGCGAGATGCATTATCATCTTAAAAAATGACGTCATCATCCCCAAACATGCTTTCAATTGATGGAATAAGAAAAGTGTTCAAAATTTCAATGTAAACTTGTGCATTTATTAAAGACGTAATGACTGCCATCTCCCCAGTGCCTTTACCTGACATGCATCCCCATATCATCAGTGACTGTGGAAACCTGCGTGTCTTCTTCAGGCAGTCGTCTTCATAAATCTCATTTGATCGGCACCAGACAAAAGTTCCAGCATCATCACCTTGCCCAATGCAGATTCATCACTGAATATGACTTTCATCCAGTCATCCACCATTGCTTTTCCTGAGCCCACTGTAACCTTGTTTTTTTCTGTTTAGGTGTTAATCTTTGTGTGCATCTGCTATACTTGGAAGCATTCAGTTGTACAACATCTTTTCATCCCCACCATCAAAAACCTGAAACTAAGTACTGTATGTTTGCCACCAACAGATGGCATCCCACAAAAACCCTTGAAAAATGTAAGCAAAATGACAGAAATGGGCTTTAAGGTGTGGTTGCTCTGGGCAGTGCAGTGGGGAATGTAAGGGAGTTACACATCTGTGTCCAGGTGCCATCCAACTGCAGTCAAATGTTTGGACAAAAGAAAGAAATCGACGTTGGAACGTTCAAACATTATGTTGGCTTTCAGGAGCTCTGATGCTGATCGCCTGGATGACCACAGGATCACTGGGAATGATGGCAGCCCGATATCTGAGAGGAGTGGGCAAAAACCAGAAAGTGTGTGGCAAAGAAGTCTGGTTTGTGGTAAGACTAAATGGATAAACGATGCATCACAGGCTTACTTCTTGTTTTTAATGTGCAATTTGGTCCACATAGGAAAACACACAATGTAAAATCAAACATGTATGAAAATGTAGAGTCCAGAAGTAGAGACTCACTGGGTAGATGTTCAAGATAGAATCAACAGAAGTGAGCTCACTGCTGTGCAATATCACCCAACTGTACCGCCTTAGAGGAACTGCATTACATCTAAGCTGAACAGTGTTTAAAAACTAAAAACATAAGTTTAGGTTTTTGTTGTGACTCTGCTGCAAAGCCAGACCCAGTGATGGTCAGTCTTGTCAAACATGGTCCAAAAAAAAAAAGCTTCACACTGTTCAACATCTGACATGAATGATGTTTATTTAATACAGACGAAAATCTCACGCTTTTGACTGAATAAATAACTCTTTACTCTTCTGTCATACTTTTGCAAACTCCTCCCAAAACATCCACCTTTTGACTGATTTTAATTGGTCACCAATCTTCCTGTGTCCTTTTCCACCTTTGCGTTCTACATGTTTGGCCTCTACAGTATCACGTATTTTTTGTGTTTCTCCAGGTCCACGTTGCAGTGATGAGTGTGACAGTAGCAGCCACAATCACTGCCTTCATCCTCTCTTTCTCATATGTTAAGGAATGGTCTGAGGTCAGTACACAGCACTGATAGGACTCAGTCTTTTTGCAGCTTCTTTTGATGATTTGAGGAAGTTTAGTTAGTGCATGGGCTGCAGGTGTCTCGGTGGTTAGCACCGTTAGCGTCTCACAGCTAGAAGGTCGCCGGTTGGCGTCCCGGTGAGGACACCCGGGATCTTACTACGTGGAGTCTCCATGTTCTCCCCGTGCAGCGTGGGTTCTCTCCGGGTTCTCCGGCTTCCTCCCACAGTCCAGAAACATGCTGAGGTTAATTGGTGATTGTAAATTGTCCGTAGGTGTGAATGTGAGTGTGCTTGGTTGTCTGTCTCTAAGTGTAGCCCTGTGATAGGCTGGTTACCTGTCCAGGTGAACCTGCCTTCACCCTGAGTCAGCTGGGATAGACTCCGCCCCCCATGACCCTAGTGAGGATGAAGGTGTAGAGATGATGGATGGATAGTTAGTGAATGGTTGGGGTAAAATCCTTGTTTGAATGTGGATGAGGTATCTATATATATATATATATTGATTTTATTGATTTAAAAAAAAAAAAGTGAGCTTTTACAAGATTGAATTTCCCTTCTGGGATAAATAAAGTATTTTTCATTACATTTCATTCATTTTCATTCATTTCATATATATATATACACTGAACAAAAATATAAACACCCCTTATGTCAAATATAAGAGTTTTATTAACATTTGGGTTCCGCAATATACAGAGAAACTCAAAATGTATTTTCAGTAATTACTGATCTTCATATCAGCATTGATAACATCGTGGTCCAGCCGTTTGTAGCGGATTGACAGTCCTTTGAACATGACAGGGGTCAGGTTGAGGAATTTGATTTTTCAGTATCTTGTGCCAGCTGCATCTCTCAGAGCAACACATCTTCTTCACATGGAGTTGATCAGATTGTCTATGGTGGCCTGTGGAATGTTATTCCATTCCTCCTGGAGTGCCACACGGAGCTGACCCACATTGCCTGGAACTGGAACACGGGCGAATATGCAGGCCAGTCCAGAACTTCAGTGTCCTCTGTTTGAAGGAATTCCATGCAGATGTGGGCAACATGAGGTCGAGCATCGTCATGTTGAAAGGTGATGTCATGCTGGCGCACAAACGGCACAACATTTGGGGTGAGAATCTCGTCCCAATATCTTTGTGCATTAAGGTTCCCTTCAGTGAAGTGCAATGGTGTTCTGTGCCCGTATGTGATGCCTGACCACACCATCATGCCACCACCTCCATGGGCAGCCCTGGGCATAACATCTGCATCTGAAAACCGTTCACCCACACATCACCAGACACGCTGTCGTCCATCTGCACCATACAACTGGAACCTGGATTCATCCGTGAACATCAGTCTTCTCCAGCGTGCCAACGGCCATCGGACATGTGCATTCACCCATGTGAGTCGGTTCCTACGCCGGACAGCAGTGAGATCCAGACCACGGTGAGGGCGCCGAGCATGCAAGTTGGCTTCTCGTAGGCGGCTACGGACAGTCTGAGGTGTGATGCGTCTGTTATGCAGACCAGTAGTCTCATCAGCTGTGTGTGTCGCTGGTCTTAGCCGATCCCGCAGATGGACGAGCTGGATGTGGCGATCTTGTGCTGGAGTGGTCACACGTGGCCGACGAGGATGAGGTCGATTTGCAGTCGTGCCAGTCTGTTGGAAACAAATTCTTTAAACGGCTGATGGACACTGAGCTGTGCAGCTACTGCTCTGGTGGACATCCCTGCATCCAACATGCCAATGGCACGCTCCCGCATTGCGACATCTGAGGCATTATGACTTCTGACATGTGACATGTTGGGGTGACCTTTATTGTCCCCAGTCCAAGGATTGTCCAGCTGTTGCTCATTATGTCTGATCACACACTGGACATGCCCACCCACGCACTGAGTAAAAAACAACTCACTGAGTAATGCTCACTGACAGCAAGTTGGATTAAAAATGATACACAAATCAAGAGAAATATTACTTTTGTACAATAAAATGCCAGCAAATGCTCATTTGCAGTTAGCTCCACATGGCAACAATATTTGACATGAGGCGTTTATATTTTTGTTCAGTATATATATATTTATATTTTACTATCTTCATCATGGTTAATGGAACATTAAATTCTTTTAACTTGGGAAGAACAGTTTTTCCACTTTATGAACATGATAGAGTGTCGTATCAGAGATGATGCCCCCTTCAGGAGACAATGAAAGTGAACGTTTTGAGTGTCTTGTCTATCAGACGTTCATTCATCAAAACTTACTGTCGAGACTTTTCTGAACATCAGGACAGTGAACGGCGCTAAAACTGTGGCGCTCGGTTGTGATGTGGACAAACTACACCAACACGGAGTCCGATCAGAGACGACGCCGGCAGTTACCTGAGAGAGAAAGAAGCGGTAAAAACGAAAACAAAGGAGGAGGAAGAGAGTCGGACCCATGCTAGGCTAAAGGCTGGATCAGAGTCTGCCTTCAATGTTCTTAAAACGTCTCTGCAGAACCTTACGTTTGTGCTGTATGTTCACTTGACAAAATGTGGCTCTATTCAAAAACCCATGATTCTATCTGCTATCCCTACAAAACATGTACATTAGTGTTAATTCTATTGGATTAAGACATGTTTTCATTTTTGAGGAGCGTAGGACCCGTGTACTATCAAACAACAGATGTTTGCTTCACTATGGACAGATCCTGTTTGTCATCTGCTGCGTCCACCTTAAAACAACTCGATGCACTTTATAGTTCTGCTCCTCATTTCACTACAAAACATAAATGCACCTTTGAGTATGTCATGACATGTAGGTACACTAGCAACGAGAAGAGAAGTACGTATAGAATTGGAGTTCTGAAAGACTGCCTGACAGTGATTTGATCCATTTGGCCCAAGCAGAGGAAACAGTGAAAGGACCACCTGCTGTAAAGCATCGTCCACTAGTGGCAGGGCTGCTGGTTCCAGTGGTTTGGAGCTTTCGTTTTGTTGGATTCTTTTATTTAAAAGAGTAATTCAAAGGGTGTAAAATCTCCATCTATGTTTTTCTGTTGTATTTCTCAAATTCTCTCCTCAGATGTGTCTCAGCAGTTCTGAGTGTGATCGTGTCTGTCAGTGAGTGACACTGATGCTGTGTGTGGTTTGCAGGGAGTCCATCCTGTGCTGGGTTGTCTTGTTCTGATCCTCTCAACCCTGCAGCCCATACTGGCTCTGCTGCGCTGTGGACCCCAACATCCACTGTAGGTCCCCTGCTGTGTGTGTGTGTGTGTGTGTGTGTGTGTATGTGTGTGTGTGTGTGAGAGAGAGAGAGAGAGAGAGAGAGAGAGAGAGAGAGAGAGAGAGAGAGAGAGAGAGAGATTTAACAAGTTCTCAGACACATCAAACACCAGAGGCCTGGACTAGAAGCAGGATCTGGGGTTAGCTTTAGGTTAAATCCTGGGTTTTCGGTCCTACAACGGTAGTTCTCTTCTGACCAGGTCCATCACCATGGTAACTTAGCTGAACCTGCTCCACAACAGGTTCTGCTGGAGGTTGAGACCAGTGGTATAAAACACCTCCACTGGAAACCAGTTCTCTGCCGTAAACCTTCAGAAGGACAGAAAACGAAGCAGCTCTCACCAACATGGCTTCATCAGCATCTATAGAAGAGCCGCTACACATCGGAGCTGGACTGTGAGGGACCACTGAGGACTGTGAGGGGTTTTCAGGACCAGCAGAACCCCTTAGTGCCCCCTGACCAGGACCTCTATGAGCTCCTGTCTGCCTTAGTTCATGTGTCTCCTGCTGGCTACAGACAGTGTCAAAGCTGCTTCATATTTATTTCCATCAACATCAGCCACAGCAGCAAACTGACTTCAGCATTAAAGCTCGTATCTGTAGGACACGTTCATGAGCTGCACCGCTTTGGATCATGGTTCTGTTGGTTCTCCATCTGCTCCCACGTCCTTTCTACACCTCCAGGGCTGCAGCTGGAGGTAGAACATGTCAGATAGGCCACGAGTCTGTCCATCAGGCAGCACAGGAGCTAAAGGAGTCCTGAGATGTGCTGCTGGTCTGATACGAGCCTTCATGATGAGCAGTGATCAGGTTTTATGATAAACTAATGAGCTGATCGTCCACACAGGCAGCAGCTTCCTGCCACCATTCCTTCCTGCTCTGGTCTCTTTCTGCTCCGATCATGGTTTTATGTTCTTCATATCAGGTCCAGATGATGTTCTGCTCCTCGGCGGTAAAGTGAGCCGCTCTGCAGCCAGACTGGTCCGTAGTCCTGATTGGTCAGAGGCTGATAACTCCGCCCATTTATGTGCACGCGCTCAGATCAGATCAGATAACCCTGGGTTGACTTACCGAGTTGATGAACCACCGTCGTAGGCCCGGTTATCCTGAGTGGGCTGTTAGGTTTTTCAAATCTGTCTCGATAACTCCCCCTGCCGTGCCCGTCGGCAAAGCAGTTTGGGGTAGAAGCAAAGGCGATGCACTGGCCGTCGCACGTCATCAAAGCTCTCTGTTCACCTTGTTGTAGGTTAGTGTCATCTTGTAAACCACTTGGGTGTTAGATTTCTGACGTGTTTTTTTGGTTAGAGTTAGGTTTTGGAATTGGTGAAGGGAAGACTTGTAAGGCAAGAGGCCATTGTTCTCCTGGTTGCATTAGGCTTAGATGTCCTGGGTGTGTGGATCTGGCTTCTAGTCCAGACCCTGTTTTAGTGCCCAGAGCCTATTTTCCTACATTGTGTCGATGTTTTATGTCTTTGCATGTATGGATGACTGCTTGGACTGCTGACTGCAATAGAATATAATACATCATACATTTAGTTTCCAGAAGAGTTCACAGTGTTCTTAACATATTTGTTCACCTTACGGTTCCGTTTCAGTGTCCCACAGTTTGGCACTGAAGATGAGCTCCTTCCAGTGTCTCTGACAGGGTTAGAGTTACAACATCAGCGGTCAAGATACTGCTTCCAAGTTCAAGAGTGAAGTTTAATAATTTTAAACACAAGTAGTTTCAAGCCACAAATGACTGATGCTGTTGTTCGCTCCCAAGCAGACAGCCTTGCTGCAACAGCTCCAGTATTTAACATTTTGCCTCTTGTCTTTGACAGGAGGTCTTTGTTCTACTGGTCACATGCTTTGAATGGATTGGCAATGAAAGCTATATCTGGTAAGTTCTTGTCTTACACTATACTTGTATACAGTCTTTCATTCAAAAAAAAAAAACGTTCTAATACAGACATTCTGCATACTTTTGCTGCAAGTCTTGAAATGTGTGCTTGTGTGTGACATCATCCAGTGGCAGCAATATTTACAGGCCTGAAGCTGGTGGACAGCACTGATGACCGATGGCTGATCAAAGTGATGGGTGGTTTTCTTGGATGGGAAGTTCTGTTCTGCATTCTGTTGGAGGTCCATTTAAAATGGAAGGTTAATAGTCAAGGTAAATATGCTTTGTTTTCATGACTATTGTTGTTGATAGCTGCTAGTGTCGTGTTCACCTCTCTAAAAAATGTTCATTTCTCTTCTGAGCAACAAGACAACCAGCTGCAGTTGTTGACTTGCCTCCAGAGACTGATGAACAAGTGTCATCCTGAGACAGAGCTCAGCTTTCAAATGAGATCCCCAGTGAGCATCAGAACTTCTGTTTTGCACCTGCACATATTCACAGTGAAAGCTATAAACCATAGGGGCAGGGTTAGGGTTAGTGCTGTGTCTCTTTGGTCAGAGTGGAGTCAGTTCAGCTCTGATGTTCAGCTCTGGACGATCTAAACCCTTCGACAGGCAGCGTGGAATGTTTTCACCACCATGTTTTACTGCGGGTTTGATGCACTGCATCAGTAGCTTCCATAATCGACTGTGAAATGTTGGTATGTCTCAGACCACCCCACCAGCTAGGTCAAGTTCTTAGAGAGGCTTGTCATCCTCTGAGACCACTACTAAACTGCCATCTTTTACATCCTAGGAGGTTCAGTAGAATACTATCAACTGGATTTATCTTTTAGATCTCATTTGAGCTCTCATCCCCTTGGATGAAGGTGAAACATCTTCAAGAAGTCCAAGTATACTTGTGTTCTCCTGAAGCTCCTCGGAGTAGCATGACTGAGAATCGACACAGATATACTTTACATCCTTGTTTATTCTGTTCTTTATTTAGCAATGTTGTATCTGCGATGAAGGTCTTGTCTATTTCTTATTGAACAAAGCTTTTTTTTATGGTGCCTCTTGTGGTCTGCAGTGTTTTAGAGTGCCCTGTGCTATCCTCTTGGAAACCTGCCATCTCGTCATGACTTGATGCTGAGAAAGCTCCTCTGTGCTCAGAGTAAAAGGTTCAGGCACAGACATAACAGACATATTTATAACAGGTGAACGATGCCTACAAGTTGAATTACTTGTCAGTGCCTCTGCTGAATCAATCAGATCCACTTAGTGGAGCTGAATGCTGTTTGGAATGGAAGTACAAACGGTTCATGGTCTGCACGGATGTAGTGCTTTGCTAATAACCATAATGCCCTTTATTCCTCTCTGAGAAGCAGACAGGGAGAGGAACTATTTTACTCATGCATTGTATTCCTGAGTGCTACGCTTCAAACAATAATCAACTATCAAACTAAGAAAATAATAAATACAATGACACTGATGAATTAAATCTCTCAATCTCAAATTGTCTTTGCTTTGAATGACAGATAGTCCAACCCCCCGCCTGGAGTCCAGAATGGTACGACCCACACATCTCAAAGAACAAACAATCAGAAAACACCAATAATACAGATGATTTCTGCAATAATCTGAATTGTTTTGCCAGATAACAGTTGATGTTGTGCTGATGGCTCTGTTCTTCCTGGGAAACCTCTCCGTGTTGGTGGCGCTCTTGGTTGGAATCGGGAAGTTATGAGCAACAGAAGAGCCAAAAGAAGAGTTGCTTTCACGATTATATGCATTTGCCAAATTTGTAGAAGCATTTTTAAAAACATCATTACACAGTCAGTTTTTTTATTGTTGTTGTTGTTTTTTTTTTAACAAAATGCTTGAACTACTTACTTGTCCAACTTTTGTGCCCTTTCTCGAATATAAAATGAATACATCTTTAAATGCAGATGGAAATAGTTCCCCTTTATTAGGTGGCAGTTTATATGTAGCCATGCACTGATGTTTTCATTGAGGAGGAAGTCACAGATTGTGCTGTCATTAAAATGCACTTGTTCTACACATCACTTGTATGTCAGGCTGTCGCTTGGAGTCCCACTTTGTAGTCACCAACCCTGACCAACTCCAACCCTAACCCACCCTAACCCTAACTCTAACCCACCCTAAGCCTAACTCTAACCCACTCTAACCCACCCTAACCCTAACTCTAACCCACCCTAACCCTAACTCTAACCCACCCTAAGCCTAACTCTAACCACCTCTAACACACCCTAACCCTAACTCTAACCACCTCTAACACACCCTAACCCACCCTAAGCCTAACTCTAACCCACTCTAACCCTAACTCTAACCCACCCTAAGCCTAACTCTAACCCACTCTAACCCTAACTCTAACCCACCCTAAGCCTAACTCTAACCCACTCTAACCCACCCT